ATGGTTTGTGGGGCTGGGGGGAAGCAGCAGCTCCCTCTCAGGTCCCCTGGGCTGGGGCGGGGGACAGAGCACGGCAGAGGCTCAAGCAGGTCCTGCCTTTTCTTCTGCCTGGTTTGGAGCAACCCTGCCTGCGAAGCAGGGTGGTCCCCGTGCGCTGGGAGCAACCCCTGGTCCCGCTTCTTTCTCCGTTCCCGATCACCCCCGGGCTCTACCTGGTTGTGGCAGGGTCTGGGTGGGGGCCCCAGCCGCTCTTGGTGGCCCGTGGGTGTACTGGCCTGCGCTGGTGGCCATTCCTGGCAGCGGGTGTTTCTGCAGCGGCTCGCACCCACCACGCAGGCGCTGCACCCCGGCACGGGGCTGCTGAGCACCCGGACAGGGGAGCTGGAGGTTGAAGGTGGCCTCCAGGGCTCCTCCAGGCTGCTGCTCTGCCCGGCACGCAGCGGAGCCGCGTGACCAGCTATCACGACCTCCCAAACGTGGGAAAGTGGGTAACTAGTCACCTTATCTGCTTTTATTGCTTTTATAAAAGACTTCGCCAAGCCTTGAATAATGCAAGCTCCGTACAAACATCTTTAGATCACTGATCTAATCACTCGCTCGCTGCACGAGCGTCTCCAGTGGACTGTGATGGGAGAAGGTGGGGGGATTGTGTGTGGAGGAGGCTGGTGGTCTGCTTGGCGTCTTCTGGGTAGCCAAAAGGCTTTGCCTCTTGCTCTTTTGGCAGAAAGGCAGCACTGATGCTGCTTGGGGGCTAAGGCTTCCCGCGTTCCCCACCTCCTGCTGAGCTGCACCGGAGCCTGCTCAGAGCAAAGCTGCAGGAGCAGGGCGAAGGAGGTGGGACTGGGCGCAGGCAAGAGACGTGGAGGTGGGTGCTGAAGGGCTGGGGACTGATTTACCGCCAAGCATCCCAGCCAAAGCCTTTCAGCTTGGGCTGCCCGTTGAGCTTGGTGGCCGCTCTCATCTCTACCACCCTTCGCTGTCCCCCGCTCTTTCTGCAGGAGGAGCTGCTGAACACCTGCTGACTTGTCAGGGTGGGGGCAACGCTGCCCCTTCCACCGCCATGCTGCATCAGTCAGGATGCTCCCGAGACAAGGGGATCTTCCAGCCAGAAGCATCTGCCGAGGCCAGGAGCGGTTTTTTTCCCCGCTCTCTGGCAGCTCGGGGCATGACCAGAGCCCGTGAGGGGCAGGCGCTCAGCACCGGTGCGGGCACCATCCCTGCCCTGGCACCTAGCTGTTGGCCCAGGTGAGGTGCCTTCTGTGGCGAAGGGCGCTGAGCTAGGAGAGAGGTGACTATTCATTTCTAAAAAATCCAACAAAACATGAACCCTCCTGGTTGTTCTCATTAAAAAGGCTCAGGACCTCCGGGTGGAGGGGGAAGAGCTAGAAAAGGCGCGTCTGTGGCACAAACTACTCTCAAAACCTCGCCCTGGTCTCAGGCGGCAATTCTGCCTGCTTCTGGCGCTCCTGCATGCACGGGGGGCCTGCAGGGACCCCCACGCACGGGGCAGCGTTTGCCGGTCAGAGCGGCCGGCCAGGCAGGGGCAGAGAGGGCAGAGATGGCCGAGCTCCTGCTTTGGGTGGAGGTGGGCTTGAGGAGCCAGATGCATGTACGGCTTGGGGCGTGGAGGTAGGTGCAGAAGCAGCCTGGGTACGGCTCATCTGTGTGCTGCGATCCCGGGCCACGCGCTGCTCCGTCGGATGGGGCGAGGGCAGGCGCGGGCTCTGCCGACGAGCAGAGCGAGGCCTGGAGCTACGAGAACCTGGTAGCTTGGGGCTGCTCTCCGTGCCTCGCAGACGGGAGGTTTGCAGGGCAGCCAAGCCTGGGAGCGAGGGCAGGACCAGAACTGGAACTGTGCAAAGAAAATTGGGTGGGAGCCAGATTAAAAAAAAAACAAAACAAACCCTCCTGATGCTGGCTGAGGAGTTGTTTTTCACTTTTAATGTTTCCTGGTCTGTGCGCTAGGAGAGCCGGGGTCAGCTGAGCCTGGAAAGTTGTTTCCTCCGCACTCGGCGGTGCAGAGCAAGTGCAGGAGCGAGGAGAAGGTGTTTTGCTGGGGTCCTGCCAGGGCTGCCAGCGAGGCACCGGGGTGGGGGCAACCAGGCGGAGAGTACCTGCGTGGAGGTGGGAGCGGTGCGGCTGGGATTTTCCAGCCTGTCCCTTGGATTCGCTTCAGCTTTGCTTCAGGCAGGATGGTTGAATGTGCAGTTTAGTCGTGTTGTTTTCCCGTGTTTTACGGGGGTGGTAGTGCGCGCAGGGTCGGTGGGGTTAGCCTGGACTGGCCCCCTCTCGAGCTGGGCATTCCTCCCTGGTTCGCACCCTCTGGAGCAGAGCCCCGGTGCTGGGTCCCGGCTTCCCGAGGCTGCTCCTTTAAGGCAAACTGCTCCAGCAGCTGATGATTTCAAACATGTGTTGGCTGCAAGAGCTTCAGCCAGGAAACAGCAGCCCCCCGGGATGTGAAATCATTGCCTGCAGCTCGGGAAGGCCTGTGCTAACCTCCCTGGTATGCTCTCTCTAACATTCATCTTTCAATTTGATCAATTCCTGTGCCAAGATTTTTTTGGGGGGGAAAAACCTCTTCCCCCTCACACCGTACTTCCAGGGCTCCATGGGAAGGTCAGTGCTTCCCGCCGAGGCACCGGACCAGCTCACCTTCCTGAGCAGGTCTGCCCCAACGGCACGGAGAACCTGCTGGGACCCCTGTGCCGGGCTCCGTCCTGCCCTGGCCGCAGGGAGCACCCTCGCTGGGGGTGGCAGGGACCAAGCCTCCTCCTTTGCCCTCCTCTTCCCTGGCCCGGCAAAGCCAGGGCGGTTCACCCCATCCACGGGGCAGCGCAGCACTGCACCTTGCCGCGGTCGCAGGAACCTGGGAAACAGGAGACTGCCAGTGCTGCGCCTTGGCCCCCTGCTCCTCCGTGCCTCAGTTTCCCCCGAGGCTCTCGGAGGGCCTTGCTTCCTCCCTGCTTTCCCAAGTGCTTGAGCTCCCTGGCAGGAAGATGTCCGGCTTGGACGATGCCCTGGCGTTTGTTCGTCCCGGAGGATGCTGCAAATGCTCTGCTGCAGCGAAGTGCCCTGGCTGAGTGTGTTTGGTTTGGAAGCAGAGGAGAGACGCTGTGAGAAAAGACCTGAATGGCAGGAGGGCTCCCAGAGCCCTTACTGTGTAGAGAGGCGGGAGGTGCGAGGGGCAGCTCCCGTACCCTGGGATACCACATTCCCTGGGTGACGCTCTGGCCCGTGGGGGGAGATCAGGGGGCTGGTGCCTGCACTCTGGGGATCTGGCCACCGATACGGGGCCGCGGGGCGCGTTTGGCTGTGAAGTGGGTCAGACTTTATGGTGGATGCGTGCTGGGACCTCTCCTCACCCACCTGCCCAGTGCTGGGGGTGTCCAGCTGCAGCGGCAGCACAGGGTCCTCATCGCCATCCGCTGGCACCTCTGGGGGAGAGGCCAACGCAGGGTCCTGGGGAAAAGAAGAGCCTTGGAAAAACTGAACCGGAGATGGGTCTGTGAGGACCAGGACAGAGACACGGGATGGAGCAGGGTGGGCAACCTTCTTGTCGGCTGGGGCACCTCTACCAGGCCACCACGGAGGGGACGCTCCTGGGAGACGCGGTGCTCAAGCGGCCTGGTGCGGCACGGCTGAGTACCGGCCGCGGTGCAGGTCGGACTGGGGTGGTTTTCCAGCCGGGGCCATGCCAGGTCATCAGTGCCTCTCCATGCCTGTGGAAACCAAGCGTGGCACTGGGATCAGTTTGGGAACGAGAGGGGTGTTGGGAGGCCCCGAGTGCAAAGGGATGGATGCCAACAGCAAAATGCCCAGTGTTGGGACACTGGTCCCAGCTCCGGCAGCCAGTTTTAAGCTTGTCAAGAGTCAGTGTTACCCCTTGCCACACATTTCTGAGCAGAAAGTCACTGTCCCTGCATCAGGCATGAGCAGAAAACCCCTGGAGATGGCCGTGGCAGCTCCACTGCTGCCTGGAGCAAAGAGGGATGATTAAAGCCAGGTCTGTTGTGTCCCCCCCTCCCCAGAAGACCAGCGATTTTACAGCACATTTAACTCGGGGTGAAATGTGGCGGGACCCATCTGCCGCGGGGTGCTACGCTTGGTCCTCCAAAGAGCCAGCAAGTAGCTGGGCTGCTGCGGAGGGTGGTGGGCTGGGAGAAGGGTCTGCCGGGTCCGAGGCGGGAGAGGGGCAGGAGGAGGCCCCATCTGGGTTTGTCCTCTGGCGACGCGGCTGTTGCCTCACGACGGAGAGGTTGGGGAGACACAGCCCACGGGCAGGGTGCGGGCGCCTGCGGTGCCGGAGGTGGGAGCAGGTCACGGGGGACGCTGCGGAGATGCCAGGCCGGGTGAGAGACCGACGTGGCGGCCGCTTTTGGAAGAAATAAAGCCTCGATTCAGAAGGGGCAGAACCAAAATGTTTCAGCCCTTTGCCCGCCCCGGGGGCACCGTGAGGTGAGGAGCGTGGGAGCACACGGCGCTGGTCGGTCCTGCTGCGGGGTCCCCCCGGCAGCCCGGTGGGGGACAAGGATGTGCCAGCGCGACCAGGACGGGGTGACCCAAGCAGACGTGACTCAGCACCCAGGCAGTGTGACTCAGCACCCCAGCAATGCTGTCTGACAACACCTAAGTGCTGATGCTGCAGGAACTGGGTGCCCAGTTTCTCCCTGGGACTGGCAGTTCCAATCCGCCTGAGACCACCGTCAAACCAGCAGAAAATCCCCCCCCCCAACGACCCCAAAAGTCTGCACGATGGGAGGGAGCTGTGTCTTTGAGAGATGCCCTGAGCAGCTCTTCTTTCTCAGCCGCATCCAACACATCCCTCCGGGAAGGGCGCCCCAGTAAGGGGAGGAGCGGGAGGAGGGAGGCCTGGCTCGGGGTGCTCCGGGGGGTCCGCAGCCGTGGGCACCCCACAGCGCCGGGGTCCGGCTGGGCCTGGCGCTTTGGGTCAGGCCGTGCCGATGCTCTCAGTAAGACTTGTGGAAGAGTTGCTTTAGGCTTTACGACCAGTCTTACCTGTCTCACCCCTTCTCCCCTTCCTCCCACATGACCCAAGCACACGTTTGGCTCAATTCCCTGCCTCAGTTTCCCCACAGCACTGTGCTGTACACAGCGCCCTTTGCTGCCACGCTGCAGCGCCACGGGGTAGCGTACAAACCATGGTCCCAGCAATCCATTTAAATGGAGACTTTGCTTTTCAGCCTTGTCAGCCCTAAACTCACCTGGGTCCGCCTCAAACTGCCCAGTCTGGGCCAGTCCCTTGGCCAGACCTGCGCGGAGACCTTCAGCCTGACCTCCAAGAGGTCCCAAGACCCTGCCCTCCCGCACACGCCGGCACAGACACACGGACGCGGACAGACGCAGCGTGCTCTCGCTCTGCGCGGCGCAGAGAGCCTCTGCTTTGTTCCCAGGACTTCGGGAGAACCGTGGAAGCCACGCGGAGGCTGGGGGGGGACTGGTTTCAGCAAAGCCATGGTTGGAGCTGACTCAGAGCTTCCCACCACAGCTTTCCTGCTGGCTCAGGGCTTTTTCATGCCTTCTTCCCTCCCCCTCCCCAGCACTATCCAGCTCCGTGTGAGGATGCTGAGATACATTTACTACCCGCAGAGCGGCGAGAGGCCCCTTCCCCTTGCCGAGGCAGCTCACGGGGGAAGCGTGTGCTCAGCGCCTGGTTATACCTTAGCAGAAGCACTCTCTTTCTGGCTGAGCCTCGCTCGGGCTGGGTTGGTGTACGCCTGGCTGGGGCTGCGCAGTGCTGAGGGGCAGCAGGTCTCGGCCCCTCTGCTCGCAGTGGGGCTAAAGCAGCCTTTGGGCTGCCCCGCTGCCTGCTGGCTATGGGGCTGCAAGGGGAGGACATTGGCCATGAGGACCCAGCATCTTCCCCCCCCCCCCCCCGCCCTCCCAGCACTTGGGGACAGGGTTTCCTTGTCCCCGTTATCACGGGCGAGGGAGACCTTCCCTGCCTGGCGGCACTGGGCCATCTCCAGAGCTGGGCCAGCTGCCTCAGCCCCAGACATTGCCAGGTGTGGGGCTGAGGGTGGTGGGGCTGGTGGTCACCCCGAACGGGACAGGACAGGACAGGTTGGCTTGGATGGGCACAAGCTGACCAGACGCTCCCACTCCCAGAAGCTGTGACGGAGAGCTGGTGCGTGTGACCTCCTGCGAACCAGCGGGATCTGGGCTGGTTCGGCTCAGCTTCGCCTCTCACGGAGCGCAGCTCAGCCCCGGGATCCGTCACTGCACCCCGAAGGAAGATGTCTCCATCCCAGGGCTGCTCCTGCTGGGACACAACGCCTGGCTGCTCCTGGGCTGCAGAGGGTGAAAGGGAGCTCCGGGTTGTTTTGACTCATCGCCTGGGTTTTGCAACCTCCTGGCAAAGCAGTGCATCAAAAAAAAAAAAGAAAAAAAAAAAAAAAGAGAGAAAAAAGAGCAGCCGGAGCCCTGCCTGGCTGGGTCGGGGTGCGTCAGCCGCCTGCGTGGGCCAGCCGTGCCTCCTGCCCCCCGCTTTCTGAGTCCTCCCTCAGGGCAGCTGGCTCTGCGCTGGCGCCCACAGCGGGGACAGCTGGGCAGAAGGCGCCGGGGCAGCCCCTCCGCGTCCCGCCACCTTCCGCTGCTGCCCGCAGCATCCTACCGCGCAGCATTACGCCCACGCACGCCTCGGCACGAAAGGACGGTGTCTCGTGGGGCAGGGAAGGCTGGCTATAAAGGCACCTGTTTTGAGGCTCTGCACCCACGGCGTTAGCCAAACGTGGTGGCAAGCCGTGGGCTAGCAGGGGGGACATGGGTGGTGACCAAAATGCCCTCGGTCCCTTTTCTTTCAGAGATACCGGCCTGGGAAAGGCTGGTTCGGTGATGCTCGGCAGGCAGCCTGGTTTCCCTGGAGTGGGAAAGAGAGACAGAGATCCCAGCTGCTTTCACCCCGCTGCTGCCTTGGGGCTCTGGGCTGGGCCAGGCTACACCAAACCTTTTTCTCAGGGACTGGCTCATTTTTAGCTTCCAAGCTTCAAGACCTCCACAACCAGACCTCCCAGAAGTTGTGCACTGAGCAGCTTTGTCCTGTCTGCCTGCTTGGAGCTGCGGGCTGGCTGGACGCACGATGCCGTGAGCGCCGGGACGCCCCTGCAGCCGTGCCTGGTGGGCTCCCCGGCTGGCACAGGGCAGCTCTGTGATGCCAGCTTCCCTCCTGCCTGCCTTCCTTCACTCCCTGTCGCTGCATTCGTGAGACAAATTGACTCCCCAAGGGGTGAAAAGCAAGTTAGGTGGAAGGAAAATGCCTGCCATCATCTTGGCCTGCAAGCCAGCTTTGTGCTGCTTTGCCCAGACAGCTTCGCCTCTGGTCCTCCAAGTCCTCTGTCCTGCTCTGCATCCTGGATGCTCCGCACCTTTTCCATCACCTCCCTGGGCTGGGAGCCTCCCTGCAGAGCTCACGCTGGTGCCAGCCTGGCGAGGGCTGGGCGAAAGAAGGGTAGAGCCGCTTTCTGCTGCAGCCTTTGCCTTTGATGCATAGAGTCCATTGCTGCCGCCCGTGTGAGCCCCCCACACCCCAGGCCCTGGGTCTGCTGCTGGAAAGCACCAGGGACATTTTCCTGGTGGCTCTTGGTTGCCCAGGTATGGCTAGAGATGCCTCCTCCTGGCGCAAGCACTGGGGTGAAGGCTGTAGTGCTGGGAGAAGAGGGGGGTCCCGGGGAGGCGGCAGCGCCCGGACAGCCCCCGCGGCGTGATGGGTGCCCCAGGGGGGCAAGGCAGAGGGGAAGCTGTGCCAGCGCCCGGACAGGAGCATGGCAGAGGGTCTCGGTTGCCTTGGCATGGACCTCGTTGACCCAGATCTTGACCTGTGGAAGAACTTCACAGCCTGACCTTGGACCTGCCTCTCACCATCAACTTGCCTGATGAGCTGAACTTGTAAATCTAGCCAGCACCTCTGGGTCTGCTCAGCCTGCTTGGCGGGCAGCAGGAGGGGGCCCTGGCTGCTGATGCCTTTGCCACGGTATCGCCGCTGGTGCCTGGTCCCCGAGGGAGCAGCCAGCCCTTGCTGCGGCCTGGGGTCAGAGGGGCTGTTTCCATCCAGGCAGCACAGAGACAGGGACTCTGAGCGGGACCTAACCTCCTTCTAACTGCTCCAAGAGTCCCCGCAAGGGCCAAGGCCAACTGGAAAGCCTGCACAAAGTGCTGGGATGCCGCCTGCCTCCCTGTCCCCGTCCCGCGGAGGTGGCCTGGCAGCAGTGCCAGGTCCCTGGGGGGGCCTCAGCCTTGGGCTGGGGCTGTGAGCAGGGATGTGCGCCTGCGTTGGCTCTGCCCCACTGGCAGAGTTTGTCACCTGCATCCGTCTGGCGGAGAGCGTGCTGGCCGTCCTCACCGCCCTTCCTGACCTGCAGGCTGGTGGCGGGACCTGGAGGCAGCCGGATGGAGCGGGGAAGGCTGGGGCCAGTCCCGTAAAGCCACAGAGCGGCAAGCTTCCCCGGGAGGGCTGCAGAGCCCTAACGCTGCCGGGCCAGCAGCACCCTGTGTACCATCGCAAGGTGGGACTGCTAGCTCCCGAGACAGGCATGGCCGGGCCAGGAGCATCCCCAGGCTCCGGAGGGGATGAAGGGCCAGTTTCTGCCTGTGGCTCGTTCCCTGTGCTGGGCTCCTTCATCCCAACCCTTCTGCTGCCTCCTCTGACTGCTGATCCCCTCGCTCCCTCTAGTGGGACGGACACCGGGGCTCCCGGCCTCTGCGCACACCGGCCCACGGCTCTCCTCTTGCGCCTTGATGTCCTCCTGGAGACCTTCCTCTGGTCCCTGCTCTGGCCACCCCTCTCCTCCCTGCAGCCCCGCTCCCGGTCTGGCACCCACGGAGGGAGCAGAGCATCCTCCAAGAGCCAACCCAAAAGCCTTGGTCCGATCGGAGGCTGGCTTGCGGTGCGCTGGCTCCGTCCCTGCTCTCCCCGAGGCTTTGCGCACGCACAGCTGCCAAAAGGTGTGAATTCATGACCCGGGCAGGTCTAAGCCTCCTATTTCCAGCTGCTGCCACGTCGGGCGTGTGGGCTCTGCACGCTGGCACAGCCCTCTCCCGCGCCTCCCCCAGCCCTGCCGCGGCCCGGCTCGCCTGCGAGCACCCTAATGCGGCTGCCGTCATCCCAAGCCAGAGATCCTGGCACAGCATCTCCCTCTTCTGGGGTGCGGGGACGCTGGTTAACCCCTCGTGGGACAAGCAGCTCCGAGAGCTGACCCCGATAACGCACCCTGCCGTTGATGGAGGTTTCTTCCCCTGGTCCCCGGGGCAGCGGTGCCGGCACAGCTTGGGAAGCGGCCCCCCCGCCGCAGCCCTGACCCCTGGTCAGGCCCCGATCCCTGATCACCCATGAGGTGATCTCTGGCCTTCCCCCACCCCGCTGCAAGGCAAACGTGGTGGTGACCACCCAAGCGGCCGCGTTGCCCTCACACCACCATGGTGTTACCTGCAGCAACCATCAACCAGCACCCCCTCCCCATCGTGCCTGTGCCCCCAGCCCCGGCCCTTGCTCCGCACGCCCCTTCCCTGCCTCCCGCACCGGGGCTGATGCTTCGGGGGCTGTTTTGGGGTTCAGGTACCGAGGCTGAGCCATCCCAAACATTCAGTTGGTGCAGCAGCTTTGTGCGTATCCAGTTAGAATAACATACCCGGTTAGAGTAGCATCTGGGGGACATTGGAAGGTCCCCCAAACACCAGGACCCCCCAAACGCATCGGGAGGGGACCGAGGGGGCCCAGCCATGGCGGCTGCTGAGCTCATCGCGTTCCTGAAGGTGCTTGGGGCCGGGCACAGATGCCGCGGTGGTGTCTGAACCTGCCTTCCCCAGGAAGCTCTCCTGCACAAGGGGTTCTCAAACCAGTTTGGCTTGGATTAGTTCTTTCATACATAAATATCTCCAGGGTGGGTTTCGTCAGACACTGGGCCACGCAAAGCACCACATCAGGTTTTGCTGCGGCAAAACAGCTGTGTTTGTGCAAGCACCCTTCACCGCCCTCCTAAAGCTGCTAAGGTGATGGAAACAACGTGGGGAAGGGGAAAAAAAACCCCACCTGCCTGGTACTTTACCTGATGAACCTCAGGTGGGAGCAGCGGGAATCTCTGCCGTCTCCCCTGCGCAGGCAGAGCCATTTCTCAGCCACGGGCCCGTCCTCTCGCGCAGCCCTGCCTCGAGCTGGGAGGCTGCTCCGGCAGACGATTAAAACCCCGTTCTTTGTCACTGTCGCGGGCTCCTTCGCCTGCCCTCGCAGTCCTGCGAAGGACCCGCAGGGCCAGGGAATGCGTCGATGCCGTCCCCTCAGCGCCCTTTTTGACCCGGCGTTCGGGTTTTTGCACCGTGGCAAACAGAGCGGGTCCGTGCCGGGCAGCCGGAGGCATCGCCTTTGGGGTCTCTCCTGTTGGGTTTGGCTGCCCTAGGAAGGAGAGGAGGGGAGAGGAGGGGGAGAGAAGAAGGAGAGGGGAGGAGAAGTGGGGAGAAGAGGAAGAGGAGAGGAAGGGGAGAGGAGAGGAGAGGAGGAGAGGAGAGGGAGGGGAGAGGGAGGGGAGGAGAGGAGAGGAGAGGAGAAGAGAAGAAGAGGAAGAGGAGGAAAGAAGAGGAAGAGGAGGAGGGGAGGAGAGGAGGATAGAAGAGAGGAAGGGGAGAGGAAGAGGAGAAGAAGAGGAGAGGAAGAGAGGGGGAGAAGAGGGAGAGGAAGAGAGGGGAAGAGGGAGAGGAGAGGAGAGAAGGAGAGAGGGAGAAGAGAAACAGGAGGAAAGAAGAGGGAGAGGGGAGGAGAGAGGGAGGGGGAGGAGGAAGAAGAGGAGGAGGAGGAGGAAGAGGGGAGGAAGGGGGCCGGGCCGGGGAGCAGCAGCCAGACCCGCGCCCCCCGCCCCCTCCCGTT